ATTACGCATTTGAAGGACAGTCAGAATTCTTGACGCAAGCACGAAGGATTTCATGGCAAGTTTGTAGGAGATGTTGGGGAGAGGTTCGCTGGAGAGAACAGCAATATGCGTGGCAGGACCTCGGCGAAAAGCGAGACTTGACCCAAGACTGACGTTTTCCGACCAGATCGCAGAGAAAAATAGTCAGGGGCATCACTCAGCCAAGAAGCGAGGGTAACCCAGAAACTACATTCCCGACTAGATCGTAGAGAACAGCAGTAAGAGCCAGTACTCAGCATGACGCGGAGCAAGATCCACCAAATGCGTTTCTCCGACGAGATCACTCAAGACCATTTCAGTGGCACAACACGAACTTTGAAGTTACACGGCGTGAGCAGAAGAGAAATTTTGGATGTCCATCCAACTGCTCCTGTATTTTATTTTGTTTTGGTACAGCAGTCACCTCTCCATTTGCAGAACCGGGGGGAGTGCTGTGGAATGTGATTCTCCTCAGGAGTGCTGTTTTATAAGGAACTGATTGTGCCACCATCTTCCCTTCCGAACGCGCGACCTGCCTTCCACCGCTGCCGAGTCAATCCTTCTGGAGCGACAATTAATTGTGGTCTCCCCCAACAAACGCGGACGATTTACTGACGATGCTCCAGCGGCGGCCAGCCGGACGAAGAGCACAGAAGGCGACCGCGGCGGAGGCAAGCGAAAATCCGCGGGGGAGAAACAATGGCAGGGGAAGTGGTCCAATGCGCTGGGATTTATGGCTGGAAAAGTAGGTGCATTGAGGTTCATTTTGAGTTTGATTTAGTTTGAGATTTGGCGTTTGTTTGATATGATTCAAGCTTGGGTTTGGTTTTTCAGATCTGATTGAAGTGTGGATGAGAGGAGGATCAGAAGTACTGTTTTGATTTTCGGCACCTCTCGTATTGTTTTTCGGCTTGACTCCGACCCCTTCACAAAGCAGGGGGGCGGATCCTCGGAGCAGGGGGGCACGTTATATTCTTTCAAACGAAATGGCGTTGCTGACATTTCTTCACCGGACATTAATGAAATATTTTGAGGATTTCAGGGAGATAGTACTTCGCGTTTTACCTGCGGACGAAGGTTTGGTGGATGAATGGAATAATTTGTCTTAGGATTGCAGACATCTTGGTGATGGTAGGATATCTAGCTAGCTAGGCGGATTTAGAGACGCACCGAGATATTGTGACGAATTAGCGGTGAAAGGAAAGGCGTCTTTGAACGGCGTTCGTCATATTTTTGTGGATGAAAAGAGTTTGAGTTGAGAATTTTCAGAAGAGAGCGAGAGTGATTGGCGTGTGTTGGTATGCTATTTGGATACTTTTGTCGTGTCTGAAGTATTTTCGTTTTCTTGGTTTTGATTGTGTTTTGGGATGAACTGGTATGAGAAGGATGACAATGATATTTTCCCGGAGCATGACGATGCATACGAGCAGGGGGGCTATTCGATATACTCGTAGCATAGCATGCGGGTGTTATATTGCGTATACATGTGCGGGTATTGCAGTGACGAACTACGGAGGAACAAGAAGTTTCTTTGTGTTTTCCTTGGGAGTGTGGTAGATTGGTGGAGATTCATGAAGATTCGTTTTGGGTGTTTGAGCGTTATGCGTGACTTGATGCCGTGATGGAATGACGAGCTCAAGCACGCCCCCGATGAATACAACACATTTACAACACGTTTTCCAACACGTGTGCACGACTTTACCTACCCCTGCGGCCCGTCATGGCCGAGCTACTCCACACTCCCATCACACACAACTGAGGCACCCGAATTATCGATCAGGCGGGGTGTGCAGATTGTGTGAGCACCTGCTGCTCGGTTTTCAAGACAGCACCCATTGTCCACACCACGGAGTAGCAACGTATTTTCATGGGGCATATCATCAGAGTCGGAACGTTACCAATCAATGCGGACAGTCATGGTTAACGGTCACAAGTGTTGAGGAATCGTCGAATGCCTTCATTCGGTGTGGATTGTCAGTCATGCTGTAACTGTAGGCGTCTCGTAAGAACATCAACATCCCTCCACCCGACAGTGTATCTTCGCATCTCTTGTGAACCCTTCGCAGGGTCGAGCATGATCATCATGGACCATTAGGAGTGCGCTTGACCGACGCCAGCATGATAATAAATATTTTCTAGAAGACTGGTTGGTGATGCGCTGCAACAGCGAACCAACGTTGTCGTGATCGGCTCACGCTTGGCCGAACCCAGACGTTGTATTCACGCTGCTCTAAAAATCCATCATTCGGTCCTGATACACCTAGTGCAGCCCATGTATGTATGTACCTTGCGCATTCGTCATCGGTATTTTCATATTTCATTGTGAACAAGAGCTTTTGCCCAGGCAATCCAACCGAGGGTCGATCGTGAACCCACGTTACATCGTCGGCGTGACTGGGTGGGTTTGCTTGCGTAAGCCACTACGTGGCAGTGACTCCCGCACGACCACAATCACAGACAAACGACGGGGTGACAGCCCTCTGGAGACGGGGCTGGCCGACAGATTCTGGTTACTTCTAGTCGATCCTTGTGATGCGAAAACAAAGAAAGGTGGTTTCTAGCTGTAGCAAGCTGCGCACCAAAGAACAGTGAAACCCGCCGCGGGACCTCCACAGGGCATGCGCTGAACGCCGAGTCACGTGCAACCGCGCCCCAGTTTACCTATTAGTAAATTGTCGGCATCAGGGCGAGGCCTGACGGTGCCCTTTGCCCTCTGAGCAAGTGGCGGTCACCGAGTCACGGCGATCGATGCTATTCTACACTGACTGGCCTTCCGTCGAAGTGACCGACAGTAGCAAATGTAATATAGCATATCGCTTGCGAGGTCGATTGCATAGTGTTCGGGATGGTGCGTCCGCAATCCGCGAGCCACCGAACGCCGACTACCGAACACCGAACGAACGCAAAAGTCCAAAAGTCCCAACACTGGCGCGGTGGAATCTGAATCTGAAACATCAGCAGTTCATCCATGCCAACTACCCCTCCGTGAGCAGCGGTTCGCACCGTCAATCAATGCGGTGGGTGGTCTTTGCTGCTCTCTACGCGTGAAGGTCTGTGTACATCGCCTGCCGACGCGGTGCCGCGGGGTTGCGCTGTCGCGGTCTGCTAGTACCCTCTAGGTAAGGAGGAGTGGTAGTCAAGATTTTTTCGGCCTCGATATATGCCGAAAGTGCGCCCTAGTCCACCAGTTAGCGAGCCAGAACTGCATTTTGTTTTTCAGTACCTTGATTGTGCATTTTTCCGAGGCGCCCTCTATGTGGAAATAACAGAATACCTCGTTCCCCCCGGACCAAGATTGACACGCAGGATTGCCACATTGCGCGGCACACTTTGCGGCAGTCTACTACCGTACAGGATTTGATGTGTTCTTAATACAACCAGTATACTCTTCATTGTATAGGTTTTCGTGCCGCATAGTTAAACCCACATTATACCGACGTAATCGGCCAGCGGTGGCTTTTCGCGCGTAGCTTTTTGAGTCAGGCATATCATTTAACGTTCTTTCCGCGGAAACTCCCGCGGGAAGTGCGGAAACTTTCGCCGCAAGCGGAAAGTTTCCGCGGAAAGTCTGGAAGGTCCCGCGGGGCATTCCGCGGAAAGCGGAAATTTTTCTTTCCGCAGGATATTCCGCGAAAACTTTCCGCTTTTCGTGAAAACTTCCGCTTTCCGCGGAAACTTTCCGCGGGAGCTTTCCAAACTTTCCGCGGCAACTGCGGAATGGAAAGTTCCGCGGAAAGTGTAAAGCTTCCCTTCTGATCGCATCCAGCCTGCCTACACTTGTACCCATGTATCTTATGCATCGTGCATGTACCGTGTTGAAACTCGCATCGACTGTAGCAATAATAGCAATCAATGGCCAAGACCTCCCCGAGTGTCTGTGTGTGTCCTGCCTCCCGTGTGACCGGGATGACGAGACGCTAGGAGACTCGGAGAAACACCGGTCGAGGCGGTGCTATTTCAACAGCAGTAGTGACAGGTAGCTG